CGAAGTACACACCCACATTGTCATAATCAAATATCAAAATATACATGATCATGTATGTTTAAAATATCACATTTTTACCCATATATCACATGTGATAAAATCACGGATAAACTAAGCAAGCTTGAAATTAAATAAGTAAAGTTTGTCACCCATTTTAAAAAATCACATGTAACTCACAGTACATGTCATAACCCAAACCATTCTTTGAATTGGCTAGCGTCTCCCTATAAATCAAAGACCATAATTTTAGTTCTAGAATAAAATATGACACCCCAACTTATGATAATCAAAAATGATTGAGCAGCTCCCTTGACACTATTTATTTAGATGATCCATAATCTGATGCCTTTGAATTTGTTGTATTTTATTTTGTATTTACATATATATATATATATATATATATATATATAGGAGTTTATTCAAGGAAGAACTGACTAGTTTGTAGCAACTGTGAGATCCAATCTCAACTACAAATCAATAGATAAATTAAGAAATTTATAATTTTGGTAATTTTGAATTAAAATTTTAATGCATTTTAGATATTTTCTCTCATCTTTCATCTCTCATCTCTTCTCTCTCCGTCCCCCGTCCTCCGGCCACCGGTGATACCACTGTGATACCTAAAAATATTGACTTTGTTAAACAAAAGACATAGTGTGATACCAAGCACATATAAAATGTATTGTGATACCACTGTGTTACATCTCCGATCAACCACACAAGCAACCTCAGTGTGATACCCAAGCACATATAAGATGCATTGTGATACCACTATGGTATCATTGGAGGATGGTTGCCGGAGGCCGGGGGACGGAGAGAAGAGAGTTTTGAAATATCTAAAATGTCGTCGTATTAAAATTTTAAATTCAAAATGACCAAAATTAAAAATTTCATAATTTATCTATTGATTTGTGGTTGAGATTGGACCTCACTGTTATCACAAACTAATTAGTTTTCATTTGATTAGACTCATATATATATATATATATATATATATATTAGTCACGCAATCCAATGTGATATATCTCGATTTTAATATTTTGTTTTATTCTTTCTCTAGCAATGTTATAATACAATTTTATGTTGTTTTGAGAAAAAGAATAATATTTTTATAATTTGAATAAAATATGAATTTAAAAAAATACATATATTAGTATTAAATTAACTATTTAGAAGTTCATTTTTCTTGTGTAATTTCTTTAATTCATATTCTTATTGTAATTTAATTTAATAAAGAACTAATTTATTTTTGATTTAATATTTTTTATAAAGATAATAATTGGGTATTCTTTTTAGAACTCATTGATTATTCTAATTATATTTCAAATTTTTTATATTTAAAATGATATGTTTATCTTGTATTTAATTATGTTTATCTGTAGTTAGTTATACGAATACAAACATGGAGCTTTAATAAGTTGTACTTACGCATAATCTACTTGTAATCTTGAATTTTAAGTAACATGAATCAATAAATAATATTTTATGCATAAAAATGGTTTTTAAGAATTGTTGTCAAATGTTTTATAAAAAAGTATAGATATATATTGACCGACACACCCACGAACCACAAGTTCTATATCCTGGTTTGTTCGTTGTTTTTCTTTTTATGGTTTTATAAATTTGTCTGGTTTCCGTTCAAAAAGAAACCACAAGTTCTATATTTTAAAACCGACCCGAAGGTCACAGTTTGACAACTCGGTGTCACCGAGATTACGGTTGTGAAGAACGGCAGAGGTGCTAGCGGTGACCGTCTGTTGCCCTATGGGAATCCACCCGAATGATTGGCGTGATTATCTAGCAAAGAGAACTTAGAGACGACAAGTAGGAACTTTCTGATTGTTGTCGAACTAGTTGCGATGCACAACACCAACGACTTTTGTTTGGTCGTCCACCTTTGCCTTTGCTCATAGTAGCTCTTCCTCTCGACATGTTGTTGTTGTTTTCGTTATTTGTTCCCTCGACTACCAACTCCCAACCCCTTCTTTTTCATACTTGACGGTTTTTCGGAGAAGGAATCGCAAAATGTAAATAAACGGTCGCAGGTTTTACATCCAACATAAATGGTCGGTGGGTTATTTGGACGATTGTCATGCTACTCGATTAAGACTCCAACCTTTCACTTTTTTGTAATTACATTTCTAACCTTGCAATTACCAACCACTGTTTCATTTTTCCTTTTTCTTTTCTTTTTTTTACGTTTTCCTGATGCAACTATGTATATGGTCAGGGACGAGCAACAGACTGAGTTCTATCCCGTCAGTGCTCTGGCTTGCTAAAAAAAAAGGTCATCGGTCATCGTGTAACCCCGTCATCGTCCTCTGAGGACACACTAGCAACAATGGTGGATTTGAGTTGTATTACGAGGATGGAGCTGGGTTTGGTTTGAAGCCATTACTGGTGAGTATTTCGGAGTTTTTGTTTGGGTTCTGGTTTTGAACGGTTATTGGATCAATAGACTCAAATTGAAGCAAATGGGCTAGGGAGAATGAATCAAAATCTACTGACGTCAAATTGTAGCACTTTCAAGAAATTCATATCTTGACATAATCCCGTTGTGTTGTTTACAAAGACCCTTTCGAATTAATTACTAATAAGCTAATGAAAGTCCATGCAAGCATCTATACGATTCAGATTGCATTCTTTCATGGCTAACTTTTAAGTAGTTCTTCCCAGGGACGGACCCAGAATTTTTTTTATACGGTGGCACCATTTGACCATAAGAAAAAAAATATATGAATTTTTTTTCAAACGATGACACCGTTTGACTATAAGAAACAAATATACGGAAATTTTTTTCAAACGGTGGCACCGTTTGACTAAGAAAATGACACTAATATGATTCAGACTTGGGTGTGGGGTGGAATAAAAGCCTCGCCGAAAAGCATCTTTCAACCGTAGCAGTTGCAACAGGCAAAGTCAGTGTTAGTTTCAATAACCGATAGACTAAAGGATGAGAAAGATGCTTTCTTGTTGCCACAAATGCATGTATCCCATGATTCCCACATTGGTCTCTGAACAAGTAATCATTAATCAGTAATCAGTAATGAGTAATATAAATAAGTAAATCTAATCAACTTATCAACATATGAAACCTAAACATCGTAAACAGTAAACAAAAAAGAATGATCAATTTGTATAACCTAAACAATTAATCAAGTAACATTTGTATAACCTAAACAATTAATCAAGTAAATAGTAAATAATCAACTAAACAGTAAACATAAAAGAATGATCAATTTGTATAACCTAAACCTAAATCAAATAAGGTCACAGATTTGGGGCTTTACCAGTTTACCGCTTTAGTTAATGCCTTAATGGACCATTAGATTTAGGGCTTTAGTAGTTTAGTTAATGGACCATTAGATTTGGGGCTTTAGTTAATGGACCATTAGATTTAGAGCTTTAGTTAATGGACCATTAGATTTTATTTGGGCTTATTTTTGCATTTTATTTGGGCTTTAGTTGCACTATTAGAATTTGGGGAAAAATACGGTAGCACATTCCGAAACGATACGGTAGCACTGTTTTATTTGGGCTTTAGTTGCACTCTTAGAATTTGGGGAAAAATACGGTAGCACCTTCCGAAACGATACGGTAGCACTGTTTTATTTGGGCTTTAGTTGCACTCTTAGAATTTGGGAAAAAATACGGTAGCACCTTCCGAAACGATACGGTAGCACTGTTAACAAACCTAAAAATTTTACCCTTCGGAGACGAAATAATACGGTGGCACGTGCCACCCATAGCGACACACTAGGTCCGCCCATGGTTCTTCCATTGCATTACTATAACCAAACATATATAATATAATAATCATAATATTTAAAATTTTAATTTAAAAATAAAAAATATTAAATTATCAAAACACCATTGACTTAACAGAACTTAAGTTAACAAAATTAGAACAACGGACCCAATCCATAGTAAAAATGAAACCACAATAATTATACATGTAATTATTTTGTTTGGGGAATCAAATCTAAAATTTCCATATAACCACAGGAACCAAATTCATAATTTACTCTAATAAGTACAGTTTTAAAAAGAAAATAAAAGAAATTTATAAAAAGACAATGTTACCCTTAACTTAAAAGAGCAATAGTTAGTAAAGTTAGGGTAAGGGACCCAATCCATAATAGATATGAAATCATGGTGATAATACATGTAATTATTTCGTTTGGGGGACCCAATCCAAAATTTTAGATAACCACAAAGACGAAATTGACTCATTTTTAAGATGTCTTTTCAGTTATTTTATATTTTTCATCTAACTTATCAACAAGTTTTCATCAAACGTGAGGTGTTTATCAGGTAAGAGCTAACAACTAGCTTATCAGTCATCAATTGACTTATACATCAACTTGCTTATCTGTTAGTTTTCCAAAGATGGTACGAATTTGTACTTTGATTATTGATAAACTAGTCATTTATGTGGTCAACTTGCTTATCTGGTAAATAGATTAATTAAAAAGTATGTTCAAAAAATAAAATTTGCATTTTTATTACCTAAAATAAAACAGTTTCATAAGGAATGTGTTTTTATGGATGTGAGTTATGATGGTAAACGTTCGATTATAGACAGTATGTCTGTTTCATGAACGGTTATGTTTGAGAATGAATGAATTGTGATATAGTTCTAACAGGTGTTAAAAACATTAATTAACCACAAGGGTGGTGTCTGAGTGGTTTGAGCTTGGCTCTAAAGGTCAAAAATACCAGGAGGTCCCAAGTTCAAATCCAAAAAAGAATAAAAATCCCCTTGTGACCACGGAGGTTCAAATGTGGTGACTCCGGACTATCTGCAAAGCAGGTGGTCATCTTAGAATTAATCAGTTCGCATAACGGGTTCGATATCCAGGTTAATAAAAAAACACATTAAAGTAAAATAAGTAGAAGAGTTGCATTGAAAGATTTTTAATACAAGTGGAATCTTGAAGTAGTACTTGGAAACTAAATAACAAAACTAATACATGAGACTATTACTTGGACCTTCAATTTTGTAGATAGATGTATACATTTATTTAGCACCTAAAACCACACCCCCAAACACTTTTATTCTCTACTTCTCTCCTCTTTTCTACTGATAATAGTGGTACTAGTAGAAACCTGCTCTTTACGTCCGTTCTTTCTCCTTCATCAGTTCGCCTGTACAATTAATGATTAACGATTAGCAGTTAACGATCCCAATCGCTTCATGCTCACCTGCACTCAACTCCCATGCTATGCTACCAAGGGGTTGTTTACAAATCACTTACTGTTTGTTGTCGGTTAACTAAACACTTGTGTCTCTTAGTAGGTAAGAGATGGTAACAACTCTTCCGGATAGAAAAGTTTATTTGTGAGTTTCTGAGTTCAAAGTTGTTGACTTCCAACAAATTTCATCTTGGTTTTAAGTTGATTTGGAGGTTATTAGATCAATCCTCCTGCATTGGGCTATGCGGCGTTACATAAACTTATCTGGTAAAAGATGATGGTCTTTATCAAGAATCTTACTTTACCCGCTAAGTAAAGGTGGTGACTCTTACCGGGTAAGAGACGTTTGTACTATGTTACTTCCTCCTTTGTACTATGTTACTTCCTCCGTCTCAAAATAAACATCCACAATGAAAATGATGCACAGTTTTAGAAATGTGTAACTATTACACTTTTTATTTAACAAAATGACACTTTCACTCCTAATAAGAGGAGAAATTTTCTTCATCTCATAATTGAAGGCAGAATGGGGAAGTAAATACTTTTGAAGTAACACTTACTTTGAAACAGAGGGAATATTTTGATGACCGAGAATCTTACCTTTAACATTTATCCGGTCTGTGTTGGTAAACAACCCCTTAATTTCTACACTCAGCTGCTATGCTATACTAAAAGATAAGAGAAAGAGAGAGAAAGTTACATGGTCCGAAGTTGACATTGCACTTCTCAGGAAGTTGCATAGCCATGCTACGATCGACACCAGAGATGGGAGGCCCGTTCACAAGAACACACAAACACGGTTGTCCCAGAACTCTCAAAGCATTACAACAAGCTTCGTTTGGAGGGATGGGGCTAAATGGTGCAACCGATGCCCTACAAGGGATCAGTTGCACCAATGCAGAAAAGAATGTACTCCCACATGGAAACCCCATGGTTCCCTGCACCATAACTCCCAAAACCACCACCACCACCACCACCACGACAACTTCTTTCTTTTCCATTTGTTCACTTGGAATTTAACTCACTTTTGTTTCTAATAACTCTTCATGCACCATTTATAGATGTGTGTGATGCAAGCCATTGTGTGCCCAAGTTCTAATCATGTATCACAATGGCTTCATGTCATTCCTAAGCCTCACCTTAACTCAGCATCATTTGTATGCTTAACAGAACAGTTACTAAACTCACAAGTTGTGACTCACGAATGGGAACTTATTCACGCTATCAACATGTCAAATCAATCCATACTTCATGATTTATCAAGCGTTAGTTTTTATAAACTAGAATAAGAACAGTCTCCATTATCATTCCTTGAAGATATAAATAGACTACAGAGTTGTTAAATCAACTGCAGGTCTTGATTTTCAAGCCAGTTTCAATGAAATAAACATAATTCAGCTTCCATTCCTTGTTATTTTTCGTCATGGATGTACCTTTATTCACGAAAAGACACTTTAAAGCTCTCCTCTGTTTCCTTTAAGATTAATCACTGCAAGCTCTTGTTCTACAAATTCTCCAGTACAAATGGGAGGATACTTGTCCGCAAGAGGAGATTGTGCAAAATGGCCCAGGGGCTTCAGCACAGCGTCAGATGCTATATGAGCAAATAACTAGCAAAACAAACAAGAAAATAAAGTCAACGTTAAGGATGAAATTCTCTAAACCACAATTAAGTTTATAAAGTACTCTTCGACTTGTGGGTTCAAACAGAGTTATTTTAAGAAGCTTTACGAGTGAAATTGATGTTATATTTGATCCATATGACATAAAAAAATTGATACATAATTGGCGGGCTAAAGACTGATGGACTCACTGTTGAGGATACTCTCCAAAGGCTTCGATTTTCTTGTGATGCCACTTTAATTGCATCAAGTGTTCGGTTAGTTACCACAACTTCATGCATACCAGCTATACAGTCTCCACCGGTCAACCATTCTATCTGCAAATGGAAACAATATAGCAGATTAACATTATCTTGCCATCACGAAATACTTCTCAAACCCTAAACCAAAAAAATTGGACCTGCAGATGCAAACTGCAGCTAGTGTCAGGTTGAAACTGTGCATAAAATGGGAATCAATGTTTTACCATACTTCTGATTGGGAATCAATGCTTTACCATACTTCTGATTGGGAATCAATGCTTTACCATACTTCAGATTGGAAATCAATGCTTTACCCATACTTCAGATTGGGAATCAATGCTTTACCCATTTTGGATTGAGGTTCAGATCACATCCATCATACTTCGGATTGGGAATCAATGCTTTACCCATGTAGTGGTAAAGCTGGTAAAGCTAAAGTAACATAATCTCGAGTTATCTTACAATATATTGAACAAAAATTAATGATATTTTTACCTGTTTTCCAGTCTGAATAAGTAGACACCCAACTGGAACCTTGACTTCTACTTTCTTTCCATTCCTTAGCCAAATACTTAGACCAGGGAATCTACTTCTGCCATGAATTGTTAGAAAGTTAAGGTCATAATGATATCCTGCAAACACAGTACCCTCTTTGCCATGACGTCGTAGGTCACTCCCTGTTGGAGCAAGAAGATGCGGACCCTGAAATTGAGAAATGTGCATTCTAATTGTGAATTAAGTTGGAAAGCAAATAATCCTTATAGATGTGACAAAGGCAAGTGCCCTGCATCATTGACGAAAATTGTGTACACATCATTACCAAAGCCGCTTCTTAAATTCTAAATTTGACCACTTAACATAGTTACTGGTATATGACCATAAGCTACATATCAATTGATCAATGAACTCTGCCATGCGTATGATACAACTCCATCCCCACTTCATTCTAGAAGAAAACATGGAGAAGGGGATAAGAAGTTTTGGAGCTTTAACCAAGTCCAGCTTATTCACAAGCTGGGAATAGCTGATTGAACCATGTTATCAAGTAGCTAAGTAATTGGCTCCTTAATTCTCTCCAACACATTCCACCTCAACTACTTAACCATTTTTTCCTATTTCTCAGTATTTGTGTAAGTAATACTCTATCCAAGTAGGATTAGCATTTGGGGATTTTTTTTGGTATATCTCTCTTTTATCTTTGAGCCTTGTCCTGTACATAAGGACGCTTGTATTTAGGGAAATCTAGTGTTAAGATTGTTTCCACTGTTTTAAACCAATACATCTACTCCCTTCTGCTTTATCTTCTTTTTCTACTACTCTTCTGAATTCTTGCTGCTCTTATCACTTGACACTCTGGAAAACTATGCACAAATAATGGCACTTCGTAAACTCAAGAAACTGCTCTTGCTTTAACCCATTAAAACTATACCAAATAATGGCAGTTCTCGAATTCAGGGAACTGTTGTTACGTAAATTTCAGGCAGGGTTCAATTCTTGCCCCCAATCCTTTTAAGTAAGAAGCATGTACTTTGAGTAATATCTGACATAGTGACACAATAACATGCTAATTTAAGCCACATGCAATTCTGAAGACTACAGAAACAATCAGGAAGAGAAGCCAGCACAAAATATGGGCAGAGAATGCCCATTAGACAGTGCACAGGAATTGAAATTTGTTCAAGACAAAAGCATACATATATGCATGGATCAGAATACCAAAATCAGCCTTCATCCAATCCCAATAATTTGGGTCAGCTGAATACATGCACACAACAATATAGACAGACACACTGAGAAACAGAACAATTGGAATTCAACGTCATCCAAATTTCATCTTGCTGCATCTCAAACTCAATTAGAATACAGACACTCTAAAGTAATGAGATCCACATTAGACACTGGACTTAGTAAAGTATGTTTGCATTTACAACCTTGATCATATTCCATCAGTCTCAATTTCTCAAGAGAACATCAAAATCCCAACTAAAGTACAATTAATATAAGCAGACCTCCAAACAGTATTGGTGCTTCATATCCCTTGGATATACTTTCCCAGAAGCTACATGTATGTGTATTTTAAGAACAGATGGAGTATCCAAATTTTGCAAGTTCAAATAAGTAATAAAGTCTTCACGATCTAACGAGATTGTAATTTTCTACTTTTGATCGCAGGAAGGCACCACAGAAAAGATAAATAAACAATCACCTGCTTCATTAGACCAGTGAATGCATCCTTTGGTAAGCCAAAGCCAATTGCAGCCATTTCAGCAACAGCCTGAGAAAATTGAGTTTCCAATTATATAACACTCAAGAATTGATCATTACAGATGTAGAAAATCACTGCAAATGACACACCTCTATAGCAGATATCATTTTGGAACCCCAAGAATCCATCGTCTCTTTCCATTCAGGGAAACCTTCAGGTACAACAGGCTCGGAGTTCAGTTCCTATATAAGAGATGCACATCAACAACAGTCATCAAAGACACTACTAGTTAAGAGGAGAGATATGCTAAACCTGAAACCGGGTAGTTGATGGTCGGGGACCAACTCTCCACATGTACCGCCACTTAGGATCTGGACCTGTTGGAGTCGAAGGCTGGCTCTCTTTTGGCAATGATTGCAGCTTCTTCTGCATTTCCCCATCAACCAAACTACGAGGAACTTCAACTCCTTCAGGTGTCACACCAACCTGTTATTTTATTAAGCAAAAAACGTTGAAATCAGTTTTTAGATTGCAATTAGAAAACACCCAAATCAATTTTTGTTCAGAAACCCAGATTAGCTCAATTGCATTTCAATTTGGCCAATAAAGAGAGGGGATGCTTGGAAGTACTATGCCTGTTAGAATACATCGGTTACAATTTTGCAACACCAATGGATTCTAAATTGAACAAGTAATATTTTTTACATGTATCTCCCTATTATGATCGGAGGGACGACCATCTATGAATAATTGAGCATGTAATTTGAGTTCACAAATATTTATGCTTTTCTTTCCAATAAAACCCCACAAGTTATCACTTTCCTCGAATTATCGATCAGTCCCATAAACCCCCTCAATGCAATTCGATCACGTAAATCGATTCACGTAACACGCACAATCAGCAACTGAGAATCGGTAAGTGAAAGAAACCTGATAATGGAGGTGAGGACGCTCTTGGTGACGTTTAACATCATCAGGCTGTTCGAAATACTTCTCCATCATATCAATAAAGCGATCGTTATCTTGAGCAGAACATCGGGGATCTTTAATAAGCAGAGCTCCGGTTTCCCTTAGGGTACGACTAACCTCCGAGCAAACCGTCTTCAGTTGGGTATTTAAGACCTCATCGCCGCAATATTTGCCAGATATCACATCCAAGTAGGGCTCCAGATCAATCACCGGTAACTCCATTTGGCTGATGGATCACTGATTTCTACTTTATTTTTCTACAGAAAAGGGATGGGAAAAGAAAAGAAAAAGTGGTCGAGATCCAAGAAGATGAGTATGAATATAAAATATATTTTGGATGATGGCGGGAGAATTTATTTTCACGGCACTTCTTGCGTACCGCGCACTTTAGCATTGGGAAACTGTTCGGATGGAATTCCTTGCTACAGATGGAAATGGGTACATGTGAGTAGGGCTGCGTACTAACAAGAACAAATGTTTGTTCATGTTCATTTGTTTAACTTAACCGAACAAACGAACGAACACGAACGGTGAAAGAACGAAAATCTTTGTGTTCGTGTTCGTTCGTTTAGAAATCAGATATGTTCGTTCGTTAACATGCTAAACGAACATAAATAAATATTATTTGAGTTCAAAGTATATAAACAAAAGATTATATACTAAATTTAATATATAAATGAACGAATTAGACTCTTGTTCATGTTTGTTCGTTTAACTAAACGAACAAAAAAATTGTTCATGTCCGTTCATTTATTAAATAAACGAACATAAACGAACTTCACGCCGAATGGTTCACGAACGATTCGCTGAACGTTCGGTTCGTTTACAGCCCTACCTATGGGTTGTGGTTACCCGACCCTAAGGGGGTGGGATATGGGTAATGGGGCAGGGACGGGTATTTATTTTTATATCTGAAGGGGGTCGAAACAGGATTGGAGATGGCATCAACTGTTCCTAATCCAATCTTGATTAATTTTTTTATTTTAATTAATATATGTATATTTTAATCTCTAATTTTGATATTAATATATTGATGATTTATCATGATTTTAATTTAAAAATAGGTCGTTTTTTACTAAACGACTATCCAATGGATTCCTCGAATCCGTCAGGTTGGGTTCAGAGACGGGGGATGCATTACGCGTCCAATACCCGCCCTGTTTCCATCCTAACTAGTTATCGGCAACCCCGCGGAATATAGATCAAACCCGTATCACAATAGCTTCATATTTGTATCAATATTTTTGTTCTCGCTTTTTTATCGAATTATTTTTCTTATCATTGTATATGTATTTATTGATTACTTATAATTATTGTGCATCGAGTACAAATATACAATTAAGCAATTTATATTACTTAGAATTGAAGAGTATATGCTCATTGTGTTGTGTATGCGTATAAATTCATTTGAATTCATATAAAGATAATCAAATTCAGGATAACATCTTATTCTAATTCTTTTAATAAAAATTAATATATTTATACAGTTTGAGAATTTAAAAATATATAGATTTAAATTACTCTTACAAGATTATTCTTCTATTTATAAATTTAAAATATCCAAAACATATATTATATATAAAAACAGGCTATGTTAGAAACCTAAAATTGATAAGAAATTCAAAAAGTATCTATATTAATGGTACTAAAACATAAGAAATGAAAAATAAACATAAACATAAATGTCCATATTATTGTTTTATATTTTTCTTTATTTTATATAAAAAACAAACATAAACACCTTAACTTGTTGGGTCCAAAAAATCATGCAATACTTAAAACAATTTACGAACAAAATCAATATTAGTAAAAGAAAATAAATGATACGTGTAAAAATAAAGTAATTAAAACACTTTAATAAGGTTGTATTTGGCTGATAGAAGGAACCCTTGAATAACCAAACGTGTGGGAGTTGTATAAGCTATTTCCAAAGTGTACAATATATTTTAAATATAAAAAGATGATTTCTAAGACTGAGAGATTAGTCTGATTTGGATTATTAAAATTAAAAAATAAACAAACTTAAAAACAAGAGACTATATATAATATATATCAAACGGTATAATGTCAAAATAAAAATTAGCAAATGAGGACTTGCAAATTGTATATTATTTTATACTAAAATCATATGTGATAATAGAACATGTTCAATACAAGGGTGAGCACACAACTTGGCCCCCAACCTCAAGTCACGGCCAAAGTTAAGTGAATCACATGTGATTCTAGTGTAAAATCAGATGTGATTTAACCATTTTCAAGTTTTCTTATTTAGTTACTGCTCTCTAAATCTGATTATATACAATGCAATTATTATTTGTGATATATATATATATAGACATTAAAAACGACAATATTGGAGACAATTAATAATGTAATATGATACAATCATAATTATATTATTTCTGTGAAAAAATAGAGGTAAAAATTGTATTTCCTTTTGATAACCTTAAATTAAACACTTGTAATTTAGGAAAAAACGACTTTTAACTTATTGAAGCAAATAATACACACAATATTCTTCAAGGTGGAGTTCAAACACGAGAACGCGAAAACACTCTTATCACATGTGATAATACGCGTGAGAGGATCTGATGGTATGCAAAAGACGTGTTCTACGACTTAGGCCGCATCAAATGTTGTATGTGTCTATGATTTAGCATCACATGTAATGGTCTTGATAAATAACAATATTATATTAACAACTCTTATCACATGTGAGAAGGCTTAGTAATGTAAGAGCGACTTGGCCCACAACTAAGATCATGCCAGAAATCACCCACATCTCTAATTTAGTATCACATGTATATCATATGTGATGGAATAATAGTATCACATTGTGATTGTCTATTGTAAAAAGAAGTTATCGCATTCTCATAAAATGAAAATGTTCTCGTTGGAACCATTCCCATTATCCAAATTCTAAACAAAGGGGGAGCACATTCATCCTACAACTAAAAAATTTCATCCCTCATTCCACTAAAAAAGTTGCGAAGACATATCCAGAGTACCAGAAGCACAAGATGAGAAAAGCTAAAAGACAACCATTAAAATACAAAGCTTCTAAACCATTTCGGTATTGTGGTCTTTGACCAATTCAGATACCATTTAGAACAAAACAAACCAACCCTAAAAGGGATTTGAAAGACCCATGACAATGGCATTTTAACACTACACATCATTCCCTTTGGAGACCTCCACAAGATTCAATCTTCTTTGTAATCGGATTTTAAATGAAACTTCACTCACACACCATGGCATTTCATGTAGCTTCACGGCTATGAAATCATGCATATAGTTCGTTCTCATAGTTATTAACAGAAATACTCAAATTCATGGCGGAACTAGATTTGTAACATTGATTCATAGTAAAAACAACCAGTTTCCCACAAGATTTTAGATCTGTCATTGATTCATTGTTCTAGAATCGTTTTGAATTATAGCTTGAAACATACAAATCCAAATATCAAAACTGCATATTTCCAGGAACACTATCCACTTAAGCCAGAACCCTAAACCGTTATCGCTAAAAATCCAGAATCTTACCAAGACAACAAATTAAATGTTTCAAATCATCAAGCCCTCTCACCGCGGATCCTTCGAGCAAGCTGCATATCCTTGGGCATAATCGTCACTCTCTTGGCGTGAATCGCACACAGATTTGTGTCCTCAAAAAGCCCAACCAAATAAGCTTCCGATGCCTCCTGGAGGGCAGCGACGGCGCTACTCTGGAATCGCAGATCGGTCTTGAAATCCTGTGCGATTTCCCTAACCAGTCTCTGGAATGGGAGTTTCCTGATCAGAAGCTCAGTGCTCTTCTGATACTTTCTGATTTCACGGAGCGCCACCGTTCCAGGACGAAATCTGTGAGGCTTCTTCACTCCACCGGTCGCCGGCGCCGATTTCCGTGCAGCCTTTGTGGCGAGTTGCTTCCTTGGAGCCTTTCCTCCGGTAGATTTGCGAGCAGTTTGCTTTGTACGAGCCATTGGCGATATGTTTTAGGGATAGTAGGAAGGAGGTAGAGATGGAGATCTGTGAATGATTTGGTAGATGGGAGGAGTATATATTTGTGTGCATGCGCGCGGGATTTTGAAATTTTCAAACTGATTTTCAGTTCGGTGGATTTTGGGGGTAGGAATGAACGGTGGAGATGAGATGTTGAATGGAAGCGGATTGGAATCCGTGTGTGCTAATTTCAGCGAATTGGAATGGAACACGTGTGCATAACGTCTTTGGAAGATTGTATTGCGTATGGAAGTTGTAAAAGTTTACTTGTTAAGAGCAACTACAACTATAATTTTGGTTCATCCATCAAATTAAGAATATCGTTTATTAAAGAGTAAATTATGATTTTCATTTACATGTTGTATTGATTATAATGATTTTCGTTCATGGTTATTAAATATTGCTTTTTTTATCCTTATAGTTTCCATTTTGTTTAATGATTTACGTATTTCTTTATATTTTGTTTTATGTTGCTTGTACTAAGATTCAATAAGTTTTTCATCACGTTAGATTTTTAAATTTTTGGTTTTATTAACATGTTAAGGGTGTGTTTGGTGCGTGGACAGGACAGGACAGCTGTTCAGCGTTTGGTAAGACATGACAGGACAGGACAGGACAGATTAAAATGACCAATTTACCCCCAGTAACCTGTTTAGTGTTTTTTTCACTAAATAATCAATATAAATCAATATAAACAAATAGATGGTTTCGATCCATTCTACCATGGCAGTAGCCAACCGCCAAGACAGCACCATGGTTGCCACAGCACCATGGCAGTAGCCAACAACCAAGACAACATGAACAATTTTTGTCATAGTAAAAAACATAGCTAACAAACAAATCAAAAGCAACATTATATTGATGAGTCACACAGCATACATGTGATAGCCGGGTAGAACTAGACTTCCACTGTTCTACAAGAAATAAGGCCCAAAATCAACACAGATTTTGATGCAAAACAAAACCCATGTCCAAATTGAAGTAATAAATCAAGAAAAGTCGATGAACAACTACAATTTGTGGTAAGAACATACCTTTTAGGGGGGCGATGCATTTTTGAGAGTGAATTGGATTAGGGATTTGAGGCGATGAAAAGGGTTATGGAGAGAAGAGAAGCAACAGTCGCGATGAACAGTGGAGAAACCAGGGGTCGCCGTCCGTCGATTGGAGCTCGCCGGCGAGAGGAGATGGTCGCCGTCGATTGGAGCTCGCCGTCGAG